ATGCAAGGATGGTACAATATGAGAAAATCCATCAACATCATCCACCACATCAACAAAAAGAAGGACAAAAACCACATGATCAATTCCATAGATGCCGAAAAAGCATTTGTCAAAATTCAACAACCATTCACAATAAAAACTCTCAACAAAATGGGTATAGAGGGCAAGTACCGCAACATAATAAAGGCCATATATGACAAACCCACAGCCAACATCATACTTAACAGCAAGAAGCTGAAAGCCTTTCCTTTATGATTGAGAACAAGACAAGGATGCCCACTCTCCCCACTTTCATTCAACATAGTTCTAGAGGTCCTAGCCATGGCAATCAGACAACACAAAGAAATAAAATTCATCCAGATTGGTAAGAAAGAAGTTAAACTGTCCCTGTTTGCAAATGACATGATATTGTAAATAGAAAACTCTAAAGAATCCACCCCAAAACTACTAGAACTAATAACTGTATTCAGCAAAGTTGCAGGATACAAAATCAATACACATAACTCTGTTGCATTCCTATATACTAACAATGAACTAGCAGAAAGAGAAATCAAGAAAACAACTCCATTCACAATTGCATCAAAAAGAATAAAATACCTGGGAATAAAACCTAACCAAGGAAGTGAAAGACCTATACCCTGAAAACTACAAGACATCCATGAGAGAAATTAAAGAAGATATCAATAAATGGAAATACATCCGTTCTCATGGATAGGAAGAATTAATATTGTCAAAATGACCATCTTGCCTAAAGCAATCTACAGATTCAATGCAATCCCTCTCAAAATACCGACAGCATTCTTCAACAAGCTAGAGCAAATAGTTCTAAAATTCATACGGAACTACAAAAGACCCCAAATAGCCAAAGCAATCCTGAGAAGGAAGAAAAAAGCTGGGGGCATTACGCACCCTTACTTCAAGTTCTACTACAAAGCCACAGTAATCAAGACAATTTGGTATTGGCACAAGAACAGACCCATAGAACAGTGGAATGGAATACAGAGCCCAGATAGAAGCCCAAGCATATATAGTCAATTAATAGACGATAAAGGAGCCATGGATATACAAGGGGAAATGAAAGCCTCCTCAACAACTGGTATTGGCAAAACTGGACAGCTACATGTTAGAGAGTGAAACTGGATTATTGTCTAACTCCACACACAAAAGTAAACTCGAAATGGATCAAAGACCTGAATGTAAGTCATGAAACCACAAAATGCTTAGAAGACAATATAGGCAAAAATCTCCTGAATATAAACATGAGCATATTTTTCCTGAACGCAGCTCCTCGGGCAAGGGAAACAAAAGCAAAAATGTACACATGGGACTACATCAAGCTATAAAGTTTCCATATAGCAAAGGACACCATCAGCAGAACAGAAAGGCATCCTACAGTATGGGAGAATATATGTGTAAATGACATATCTGACAAGGGGTTAACATGCAAAATATATAAGGAACTCACAGGCCTCAACACCCAAAAACCAAATAATCCAATTAAAAAATGGGCAGAGGAGCTGAACAGACACTTCTCTAAATAAAAAATTCAGATGGCCAACAGACACATGAAAAGATGCTCCACATGGCTAATCATCAGAGAAATGCAAATTAAAACCAAAACCACAATGAGGTATCACCTCACACCAGTTAGGATGGCTAACATCCAAAAGACAAAGAACAACAAATGTTGGGGAGGATGTGGAGAAAAGGGAACCCTCCTACACTGCTACTGGGAATGTAAATTAGTTCAACCATTGTGGAAAGCAGTATGGAGGTTCCTTAAAAAGCTCAAAATAGAAATACCATTTGACCCAGGAATTCCACTCCTAGGAATTTACCCTAAGAATGCAGCAGCCCAGTTTGAAAAAGACATATGCACCCCTATGTTTATCGCAGCACTATTTACAATAGCCAAGAAATGGAAGCAACCTAAGTGTCCATCAGTAGATGAATGGATAAAGAAGATGTGGTACATATACACAATGGAATATTATTCAGCCATAAGAAGAAAACAAATCCTAACCATTTGCAACAACATGGATGGAGCTAGAGGGTATTATGCTCAGTGAAATAAGCCAGGCAGAGAAAGACAAGTACCAAATGATTTCACTCATCTGTGGAGTATAAGAACAAAGAAAAAAACTGAAGGAACAAACAGCAGCAGACTCACAGAACCCAAGAATGGATGACCACTTACCAAAGCGAAAGGAACTGGGGAGAATGGGTGGAAGGAAGGCACAAGGGAGAAAAAGGGGCATTACAATTAGCAGACATAATGTAGGGGGGGCACGGGGAGGGCTGTACAACACAGGGAAGACAAGTAGTGATTCTATAGCATCTTACTATGCTGATGGACGTGACTGTAATGGGGTATATGGTGGGGGCTTGATGATGGGGGGAGTCTAGTAACCATGTAATGTTGCTCATGTAATTGTACATTAATGATACCAATATAAAATCGGAAAAAAAAGAAATGGCAAAGGATTTGAGTAGACATTTCTCAAATATAAACAAATGGCCAATGAGAACATTAGAATATGTTCAGTGTCATTATTCACCTGGGAAATGCTAATCATAACCACAAAGAGACACCACTTAACACCCACTAGGATAGCTATAATCAGAAGACAGTCAATAACAAGTGTTGACAGAGATGGAGAAATTGGAACCTTCATACCCTGCTGGTGGCAATATGAAATGGTGTAACCACTGTGGAAAACAGTTTGAATGGACCCCAAATGACAGTTACCATATGATCCAGTTAATATATCCAAGAGAAATAAAAACATACCTCCTCACAAAAACTTTCACACAAATGTTTACATCAGCATTATTCTTAATAGCCAAAAAGTGGAAACAACCCAAATGCCCATTAACTGATGAATAGATAAATGAAATGTGATATATCCATACAATGGAATTACTCAGCCATAAAAAGGAATGAAGTTCTGGTGTATAGTACGACATGATGAATCTTAAAAACTTTATGCTACGTGAAAGAGGTCCGACACAAAAGACCACATATTATAAGATTTCATTCATAAGAAAGGCCCTATTTGAATAGGCAAATCTATATAAAGCAAAAGTAGTTTAGTGATTACCCAGGGATGGGAGGTAGGATAAACAGGAATGGGGACTAATTGTTAATAAGTAGGTGGTTTATACTGGGGGGGTAATGAAAGTGTTCTAAATTTAGATTATGAATATAATTATGAATATACTCTGTGAATATGTTCAAACCACTGAATTTTATGGTTTGAACAGGTCAATTTTATGGTATGTGAATATCTCAATAAACATGTTTTTAAAAAAAAGACGTCACCTAATGGCAACATATGAAACCCCTCTTGACTCTAATCAAGCTAAACTGTTTTTTAAAAGGCATTTGCGAGAAAGACAAGAAATAAATGCTGGCGAGGATGCAGAGAAATGGGAACCCTCTGCACTGTTGGTGGGAATGTAAATTGGTGCAACCATTGTGGAAAGCCATATGGAGTTTCCTCAAAAAACTAAAAAACAGAAATAATATTTGACCCAGTAATTCCACTCCTAAGAATTTATTCAAAGAAAACAAGATCTCTGATTCAAAGACATATGTATCCCTATGTTTATCACTGCTCTATTTGTAATAACCAAGACATGGAAGCACTTAAGTGACCATCAACAGACAAATCAATAAAGAAGAGGTGGTACATATACACAATGGAATACTATTCAGCCATAAAAAGAAATCTTCCCATTTGCAACAACATGGATGGAGCTAGAGGGTATTATGCTCAGTGAAATAAGCCAGGCAGAGAAAGACAAATACCAAATGATTTCACTCATTTGTGGAGTGCAAAAACAGAAGGAACAACATAGCAGTAGGCTCAAAGACACGGAGAGGAGACTAGTGGTTACTAAGGGAGACGGGTTGGAGAAAAGGGGAGGAGAGGGAAGGAGATAAAGGGGAACAATAATTGGCCATTACAGTATAGGTTGGTCAAGGGGGCAGTAGTAGTACAGCACGGAAAATACAGTGAATGATTCTGTGACATCTGACTATGTTAATAGTGACCACACTAGAGGGGGTGAGGATTTAATAATACGGGTAACTGTTGAACCACTGTGTTGTATATTTGAAAGCAACGTGGGATTGTACATCAATGACACTTTAATTTTCTTAAAGGCATTTGTGAGGCAATCAGGGAAATTTGAACCACCAGTCAGAAAATGATGTCTGTATTTATGCAGGTATATTTTAATTACCTTATTTCACAAGAGAAAATTAGTCTTATTTCTACACCTTAATGTGTCAGTTACAATTATCAAGAACATATAGCAATAATATACTTCAAAATTGAAGTATAAAAAGAAAGTTTTATGAACTTTTCTTCCAGATTCTACTATTTCATTGCTTAGTCTTCAGCCCCATAAAATGTAGGCACACAATTAAATCAATTCCTCTTGGTTTGAATTTTACATGAGAACTCAACAGGAACACATATTTCTGAAAGCAAACCAAAAGAAACAACATGTGGACATAAAAATGCTAGCCAATTTTCTTCCCATATTTTAATTTCTTTCAGAAAAAACAGTGGAGAAAGACAAGAGCCAAAGAAAAGGAGCATGAATTTGCACTAAGTCATTAATACATAAGACCTGTGACACCAACTCCCTAAAAAGTTATTCTGCACCCTTACTTTAACACTAATATAATGAATAAACAAAGATGCTGTCTTGGTCACACTCTTATTTCAAAAACTGCTTCAGCTACTGAGACACAGGGTCTGGATCAGGTTCCCCCAAATTCCCATTTAATCCCTTTGAAACTAAAACAGTTTCCCAAATGTCATTGTCAAGTGTTTTTCTGCATGGTTTATAATTGATAAGAAGTCAATCTTAGAGGAAAAGAAACTGAAATCAGAGAAGGCTGTCACATTCATTCACTTCTCAAGAAAAAAATGTACTGTTATTTATGTGAGCCAATGATCACGTTCTTACCCGTCAGACTTCATTACCTGAAATGAAGGAACTTGGATCAGGCTGCAGGGATCGGAACTGATTGACATAGTACTCTCGCTGCTCTTCGGTTATCCTCCAGGGTTCATCCAGGTAATTACTGTTGTTATCCTGTGGTTCTCTCTCCACAGAAAAGGACTTTAAAAATAAAGCAAATTATCAGAAAATCTGTCCTTAGTGAGATGACAGAAATATTAAACACCAATAAGTTATCATGCACTATAATACTTTTTTACTCAAGGGAACAAATTTAAACATCTTGTAACTAGAATGTAAACTTCTAAAAGGCAGACATCATGCTTTATACTTTTTTTGCATTCTCCAAACTTGTTAACAGAACTGGATATGAAATATTGAACACTTGGCGAATGACTAAAGTTTTTCTAATGTGATGAAGGCGGGGTAAAAAGACAATAATTCTTATCTTCGAATATTCATATTTTGATGCTTTCAGCTGAGCTGAGTAGATAGTAGAATAATCTAGATTCTTTTTAAACCATAAAAGAAAAATCTGGAAAGGCTATAACCACATCACCTTTCTTCCTGAGGCATTCCCATTGTATAAATCTAGAAGTCAAAAGTTCCACCTCCCCAGGTGCTACTTGCATGGCAAATCATGATTACAGAACCTCTCATTCCACATCTGTGAACTGGGGATAACACTTGGTAACGGAGCTGGGTAGAGTAGCAGCTCGCATGGTACCTCAACAAACAGGGTAACAAGGGGTGCAACAGACCTGCCACTAGGGGTCGTGCAAGCCAAATTTGAGGATTTAAGGATACAAAGAACCAGACAAGCAGCGCAGGAGGAAACAAAGCTCTGCAAGGCAGTGTGGAAAGAAGCACAAAGAGTGAGTCTGGGCAGAAGAGCCCAGGGCTTTGTTCCAACTTGCCCTTCTACCCTAAGGCTAAGGAGCAACTTTCCAAGGGCCATCTTCTTGAAACCCAGAGGTGAATACAAAGAACAAGAGCTTTTAGGACAGCAAACCAGGATAAAGAAAGGGAGAGGTATTACTGCTAATAAGCCATCAAGTTGCCTGCTTCCAAGCACACTATCAAGGAATTAATCATTAGGAGGGCATCCTACTCATACTTCTAGAAAAGACAGACCATCTCCTCCCTCTTTCTCTACCAACACACCCACCCCATTGTAGGAAGTAATTCTTCCCAGGTCGCTCAGGTCTCCTTGGACTGCATTCAAAGAATAAACAGAACTAAAAAATTTTGAACTGTCATATAACCTCGAGATGTCCCTCTTTGAAATTTTCATACTAGGTGAGTTTCCATTAAATGTGAATCAACCCATTTTTAAATGTCCCGGAAAAGTACTATCCTTTAGTTAATACCTTCAATTCATAGAGTGTTTTGAAATTTACAAAGCATTTCACAAGCTCTAGCTCATCTGAGCATCCTAGAGTGTTTGAGAAGTAGACATTGCAGGTAGTAGTATCCTTTTCCCAGGTGAGAAAATGGAGGCGCAGAGATCCTAAGAAGGGACTGGCCCCATATCCTTCAATGAACCCCTGCAGCCAGCAAATAACTGCCCTCTTTTTCATCTATTGTTCAAAGCCAGCATCTTGCACATCAGGTTTTATTATATCAGGTTGCATCCATCTGAACTGTTTTCAGAAACTCCTTATCATTCTGGTAAATAAATAATATAAAGAAAGCAAGGAAGGTCAGAAGTCACTCTGAGCACCCAATGGGCCACTCAACTTTCCAAAATGCTCCCACTACATTCCAGGGCCAAATTCAAATGCTCCAGCAACACTTTCTGAACAAGCCCAGATGTCTGACCAGGTTCCGGGACAGAGGATGTCACCCAGGGAAGAGGATGTCAGAGTGACATGGATAGGTTCCCAGCCAGACTATATGTGTAGAGTTCACAGAAGCACTGACCTCCCAGTCGGCACTGACAGAAACAGCTGGAGTAAAGGAGCCTAAAAGGCAGGGCATGGGCAGGACAGACAAGAATAGATGTTTATGAGTGAACCATTACACGAGCTGAGATGGTTCACAAAGCCAGTCAGACAAAGGTGGAAAGCTCTGTCCCAATGCTGCCTTCTGAATCAAGATGCTGAAATCTCCACACTGGGTGTTGGCTTCTGCCTGGAACTGAAGCTGCCACATCTAGTTGTTGTTGTTAATGTCAGCTCATGTTTGTTCTTTCTCTAATTCCATAACCATCTGCTCCTTCTATTTCCTCACCCACATTACCTCACTCCTGAGTAACACCACTGGCCTCTTAATCAGGTCTCGAGTTTACTCTGACACAGGAATCAGAAATCACAGGAGAAAGTGATTGATTCCTCTGCTTAAAAGCATACAAAGATGACCTGTTAACCTAAGAAAAAAAATCCACTTCCTCCAACTGGCCTTTAAGGCCCTTAAAATCTAGCCTCCACCACGTTCACTCTCAGCAGGCTTCAGATTGCACACATGCTCACTCTTCATGGGTCAAATTTGTGTCTTCTTCCTGGAACACCCTTCCTCTGATCCCAGCCTGCTGAAATCCTACATATTACTCAAGTCCCATTTCCTCAAAGGTTCCCCAGTGTACCTGCCAGGCCCACAGTCACTGCAGATGGCCCTGCCCATTCCCCAGCTCTTCTCCACAGGGGTGCCTGGCAGCCATGTGTGTACCACAAGACCCACTTCACACCTGGTCTCACCCAATTGAGTTCAATCATGGATGGGGATGGGGACACAGTTTCGGCCTGTGGGATGCTCTGGCATAGAAAGCTCTTCTGTAGCAAGAACTTAGGCCAGATGTTCCTTCTTGGGAGTGTGAATAAGAAATATGAAGATGAATAAGTAGAGAAAGCAGACCCTGAACAGATGCACAGCAGGGCTATGATGGAGAGTGAGGGCCAGATGAGACTGAACACCATGAAGGACCCAGAACCAAGCATAAGCAGAACCTGTGAGGTAAAGAAGCACTGAAAGAGTAGGGAGTGAGGACAGCTCTAGACAGTGAAGGTCAACAGACAGTGAAGCAAACTCAAAGCACTTAGGGCACCTTAATGCAGTACAAGCACTCATAACCAAGAACTCCCGCTCCTCAGGGCCACTCGGACACTCCTTGTCTCTCCTTCCTTGGATTCCCATTAGAACCCGAATTCCTCATCCTTCTCAAAAAAACTTTAGATGGCAAGGAGAGTTCCTTCTCCCCAAAACTAAAGAGGCCTTACAACAAAGAGAGGGTTACATGACCACTGTGCACCCCATACCTAGTGTGGTCCTCACACTGGCTTGCACTGAATGTGTTAACCCACCCCATCACTTTCCCCTTGCTCCTCACTGCATGCTTTTAATTGATTTAATAAACCAAGTAATTTGAGCATCTTAAAAAATATGAATCCTTATTATAAGTATCACACAGTTTAAACACTTCAAGTGCTCTTGAATATCATCACTCAGGTTTCAACCTAGAGGGCCAGAACAATATCATACCGTCCTTTCTTCGGCATATAGTTCCTAGCAGGTTGCCTTGCCAATGGGTTTCAGCCCCAGGCAAGTTCACTATGGATTCAAAGCAACCAAAGGAATGACAATAGAACATCCTTGGGATGAAAGGGTTATACCCAACTTTATTTCCACGGTGGCAAGTCAATCACTAGAATCCCGTTCACTCAGAGCAAGTCTGCATACAGCAAGCCGGTCTCTGCCCCTGGACCTCTCTGCCTGCACAGCTGTCCCAGTCTCTGTCCTCGGCGCTGCCACCACTTCAGCCTCTGCTCTCCTGCAGCCTTGCAGCCATGCCACCGTGTCGCCAAGACAACTGGCCAGGGCTCTTTATATAGACTCAATAACAACACGTTGCCCACACATGTGTAGTGAGCTAGACAATCAGAGCCAGGTGAGAATCCTGGCCACAGGAACCTTCATTTTATCCACACATGTACATCACAGACACTAAGAAAGTAGCGTGGGGTCCACTTATTAAAGGGTTCTACTAAGTTCATGGGGTATGTCATATTGAAAGAAATGCAGAAACACTATGCTGTGCTTAATAAACGAAAACCCCTAAGTCCCTTTCATACTTTAAAGTTTGAGATCTATCAAAAGAATATAAAAGAAGTCCCTATCTGTATTCCAGTAATTCATTCACAGTCTCTGATCTCTATGGGGAGTTCTCAACTTCCATATTCTTTGAGTGAGTATTTCAGCAACAGGTAATGGCATATGTAAGGGGTAGATTACATTCCATATATCCTTAGGCTAAAATATTCTTAAACAAATCTGATTCACTACAAGAAGCAAAATCATTTGAACTCTGCTGCATAAACAGTTACCCACTCATTCATTCATTCAACAGATACTTATTGATCACCAACAATATTCCAGACACAAGTGATGAGGGGATACACTGATGGGCAAACAGATTCTTTTTCCCCAGGCAGCCTAGAGTCTGGTGAGGGAAAAGACAAACAGGCAATCTCAAAACAGTGAAAAAAAATCTCAAAGGCCATATCAGCATCTCCAGCCAAAGGTCAAGGTGGCCCAGAGGTAGGGAGGGCAATGAGAGGAGTAAGAGAGAAAAGCCACATGATCACCACCACTGGAAGGCTCATTCCATCAGTGGGAAGGCAGCTCAGGACCTGTCTGTCAATAAATAGGGAGCCAGCTCACTGAAGAACCCAGATGCATGCAATGTCTTCTCCAAATGAACCCAAACGTCAACCATAACAATCAACACAACTTTTCAGACAAAGATCTGAAAAACCAGCCACCAAAGAAAGAATAATTGCAAAGGCTAAAGGTATCAAGAAAAGGAGGTAGATGAGCTATAGAGCCTTGGGCTTCCAAGAAGCAGCCAGAACCAGGCAAAGCTCCACTTCTGCATGCACCCTAAGAGGCCTCTCCCAGTTCAATTCCAGCTCCAGTGGTTTTGTTGGCTGGGTGGAGATACTTGCTAGCTGGTGCCAATTTTGAGATCTGCCAGCATTTTTAAGTAAAAATGAAAGAGAAATCTTCCACATCTGTCTGCTTAAGCCACATACATATGGTTCATTATACAGTTTCTCAAGACACAGGAGAATTAGGTTTGCTTGTATTTAAAACATTCAAACCCCTGGTTTTGTTTCAAGTGAAATGCAAATATTTGGCACTACAAGTTATTATCTCTGGGTGAAACA